TACATTACATACATACACACACATACATATAAACGTATACATGCACATGCACATACGCATAACCATACACATACACATACTTATACACATACACACATTTCTTCCGGGCGCAGCGACAGAAGTCGTTCGCCTAGCTTGTCAAAGTAGCAACGCCGTTTTGGCATCGGCACCTCAGTGGGTGCTGAACTACCTATGCACAATACAAAGCCACAATTGCCGTCGGTGCATCGCTCAGTCATCTTTGATCAAGTTCCTCCGCGATCTGAGTGGCTTTGCAGAGGATGAGGTAAGAGTCAGCAGAAAGCATATAGGGTCCAGAGTCTGGAAGGAAGCACCTGTGGCATCAAACCCATCGTCTGTGTGCCAGAGGGTCTTTTTCCACTGCAGCATGCTCTGATAATGACCGGCCGTTGCTTGAGACCCAAGGTGGGTGACGACCGCAGTGGCTTGAAAGGGGATCAAAGAGGCACTCAGGGAAGCGTCATCTTCGAACACAAGAACGAGGATGTCAGACATCACATGCCGTATGGAGCGCGAGTCCGTGACAATGCGTCGTCTGGCCCCGCTCCCCTGCTTCCGGAACCGAAGCAACCGAAACCATGCATGACAGGTGCCATGCGTGAGTGCATGGACGGACGCCTAGGCATGCCACTGATGCACTCCTGAAAAGTGCCTGCACCTGTGACATCAAGCAAAATGGGACCACCCCAAATAGTCCCTGAACAAAATATGCTGAGCTGATCAGGCTCAAGGCGACGGGCTTGCCAAGAACCCCGAAGACAGCTCTAGGAAGAGGCGTCCGATTGACGTCTCCAATGTGCCCACGCATTAACAAGCGTTACGCAAGGAAAGCAAATGCTGAGGTCCAGGACACTAGATTGCTGCAGACAACTAAGAAGTAAGAAGTGCCCCCAAGTCAGCCTCACCAGAGACACACGTGCAGGCGGTGATGCAAAAGTGCATGAACAACACTGTTCATGTAGCACAAGGTGCCTTTGGGATTGGCCAGCCGGATGGTTGACACATTGAGCCCCAGGATGGTAGGCGGAGTCACCGCGTCCTCTCCCAACAGAAGGCCCTGAATGGACTGAGAGAGCTGGAACGGGAAGGGACGGTCGCGACGGAGCCTCGCGGCGAGGAGATGAAGGACGCCGGAGTTGATCAGGCCGTTGAGCTTCTGCCAAATCACGTCCCCGGAAGCTCGGAGTTCCAGATCCAGATGGAACTGGACCCACGCAGTCTGGTACTGCCCGCTCGGATTGAACGGCGTTGCAGACTTGAAGTTGCGGATCGTCTCGCCGTTCCGGAGGTGCTCGATGTCGGTGACGTATGTGACGTCTTGCAGGATGGACTGTATGGTTCAGGAGTCCACCAGAGGCACAAGCTCCTCCTCCTTCTCCGGATTCCAGCGAAGGAAGTCCAGGCGCCCTGAGAGTCTGTCCAGGGCATTTGCTGAGCTTTCGTCTGCAGCTCGGCGTTCGAGGTGACCCCCTTGATGCGTGCTCGAAGTTCCTGGAACAACTCGCGGAGCATGGTCTCGCGCAACGACATGGTCAGTTTCTGTGGATCGTCCTCCATTATCTGGCTCCACCTCTTCGCAGTTCGCTGCATCAACGGCAACATTGACGCTGGTGGCTCTGGGCGGAAGTAGAACTGCAACCTCATGTCCATCAGTACCGCCTGAAGCTGACGTTCGTGTCGGAGGAGCATGCGAGCGACCTGATGAAGCAGCGGATCCTCGTCGTGGCGGTGGCTCTGATCCGAGTGGTCGCCCCTGTGGCCCTGCTGATAGCGAGCGCCGGAGGAGTCCAAAGACTGAGACTGCATCTTCCCTTTCCCCTTGCCTTTTCCCTTGGCTTTGGAGCCGCCCTTGGCTCCTTTGGAGCTCTGCCCCGAGTTCGGTACGTCCGTGGGGCTCGCGGCTCCATGATGGAGTCCGGGGCCGTGGCACTCCATCCCGGTCGCGGAACACGTACACACACACACACACGTACATACATACACACATACGTAAATACATACCTACATACTTCACTTCCACGTTGCAACGCTCTGCGAACGACGCCGGGACAAGGTGCATTTGCACCCCGGCGCATCGCCGCGGACTGTTGCCACATTCCTCACTACTCCGATTCGTCCCCCGGTGCGAACGCCCCTTGAGCAAGGCCATGGGCCGTATCAAAAGTCGGCTCGGCGATAGAAAAACACGTAAAACCATCCTCAAACTCCCTAAACGGAACATTATTATCATCCCAAAAATACAAATGACGTTTTGATCGAACACGGTGGCCATGTAATGGCCACTCGCTGGGGTTTTGCCTAGATGGAGCGCGAACGAGTTCAATTTGTACATGACATGTGTCACTGCCACACCCTCAACAAAGACAGGAAGCATGACTTCACGATCAGGAATGACATGATACTTGAGTTTACTGGTGCGGCCAGTGATACGTCGAAATAGAACCGTCCAGCTTGTAAAACCAGATTCTGGGGAGGTGCCAACAAAGCATGTGCATGATCCTGCGTGCGCCACTCCTCAATAAGCTGCTGAACAGTCACCCTCTGGCATGGGCAACAGCCGCAGCGGGGTAAAAACACTCCCATCGCACTCACGCACAGCTCCATCCGTCTCAAGCCTCGCTGCCCATGAAGCCCCGATCGTGTCTTACACTACGGCACTGGAAATTGTACTTCACTCAGCCATGTCGTGCTGAGCATCGGGAGCCTACCATCTCCCTATAGCCAGGTTCTCCAGAAAGGATTGTCCCGAACACACTTTCAAGACTTGTGCCACCATTGATTCTGCTTCGGCTGGCCGGCCATCTCCTGAAGTTTCGCCCAGTCCACAGCAGTAAGGCCGCCCTCGTCTGCCACAACCTCGCGGGGGCGAGCTCGCTGAGGGACGGGAGTGGAGGAAATCCGACCCTCGAGCTCGGCAAGTCGAGCACGTAACCTGGCACTCTCGTCTGCAGCTTCGTCGCCCCCCTTGGAGAGAGCTCGCCCGGGAGGCCGGTTTCGGGCAGTCTCGGGAGCAGGTGGCTCCGGAAGAGCACCACCCTCGGCATCCTCGCCCTCGACTGCAGCGAGGTACTCGGCTAGGTCGTCGCTCTCGGAAGCCAATCAAAGGTCTGCAGCTGACTCGGCTGCAGCCCGCACTGGTCGAGCTGTGTTGCCATCGACCTGGAAAGTGGTGGCAGCAGGCCCCGCTGTCACCCGCACTCGTGCAGCCTTGCGGAAGAAAGTCACGGCAGACCAGGGCACATCCACAAGCAAAGCCGGGGTCTCGCCTAAGAGCCGGCGACGCGAAGTCTCCATGGCCAAGCTGACGGCACGGGTGAGGGCAACCTCGGCATCGACCCAAATCGAAAAGTGCTCGCTGATCAGGTCGGAGGAGGGCACCACAGACATGAAACCGCCGGCCCGAGTCCTGATCAGATAAGCTGAGCAACCTCCTCGGTCTCGGCAGGGTACAGGAAACAAAGGGGCAGGCAGTGCTCGGGCTGGAGCTGGTCCAGCAGTCGTTGAACGGCTGCCCGGTCTAAGGCCGGGGTGGGAGCTGCGGCGGCCATCGTCTCTCGGCTCCTTGCAAGTAGGCCTCGGTCTCGGCCCGGGAGGCGAAGGCGTGAGACACGCTAGTGCCGAAACGATCAACAGAAGAGCTGCGCACGCTCGCCAAATAGCGCTGGGAGCTCGAAGTCCAAAAGCCGTCCGGGCACTGTGCACAACGCAGGCAGACGTAGATCCGGTTTTGCAAGCCGAGCTGGGGTGAGGAGTCGACGTAGTTCTCGACGCCGTCGAGCTTCCGCTTGGCACTGATACCGGCGCGCAGGGCGCTTGCAATCCGGGCCGACGGAGTCCAAGTGCTATCGGCCCCTCGAGCCTGGGCGGGGCCTAAACTGAAAGAACCTAGGGCACTAGGGGTAGAGGCAGCAAGGAAGGCTTCGTCGGAGGCTCGAGGAGCTGCAGTGCTCTCCGAGCTAGGCACAAGTACAAAGTCGTCTGGGCTCTCAGTGCGAGCTCCAGCCTCAGATGCAACAGAGGATGCAGCCCGGGATGACTTTCGGGCGGGTTCACGCACAGTGATGGTCAGGCGACCTAAATGCAAAGTGATCTCTGACTCGTAGTCAGAAGAAGGCTCTGAGCCCATTCACTGACCTCGGTATTCACGCAGACGCTGAAACGCGCGAGGCGCGTCCCGGGCTGGCACCGGGGGCACTAAAGTCCAAGCCAGCAGCTGAGCAAAGTGACCCAAGAGGCGTCGGCAGGAAGGTGAAAGCAGGAGGGCAGTGAGGAGGCAGCCGGAGGCAAAGGATAACACTGATAGGAGGCCGCAGCCAAAAAGCCAAGGCCACATAGAGCACCCCGGAGAGCCGAACAGGTACCTAGCTTCACGAAGGACCTCGGGCAAGGCACTCCAAAACATGAACCGAAAAGAGCTTCAATCATTCGCTCGCATTCGCTGCAGCAATAGTGTGCAAACCTAAAGGCAGTCTCTAAACATTGGCTAAGTTCTGTTTGTACGTTAGCCGTACATCAACAAACACATCTTACACGTAAATACATTTCTGAAAAAGGCAATAAAAAATACTAGCTCGTGATTTAACGGTTCTGAGTATTATCTGGATCTTGTCGAACTTTCGATTTGGGCAGTTGTAAACTTTCGATATCAAAACTATGAAAAACCCATAAGTAAGCAGAACATAACGAATTGCAAATGTTTCGTAAATACTATATGAGTATGAGTGTTGGATATGATAGCATCTAATGAAAACAAACTGGATTTGAATCCGAAACGCAATGGCA